AAAGCAAAAAAAACCAAATATCCTAAAAGAAAATGCCATGCTATTAAAACACAGATAACATGAGGGTGAGGATTGAAATATATTTCATAAAATTTATAAAAATCTATCATGGAAGACTGTTGCATACCATAAACTCCACTTTGGAAATAATTAACTCTCTTATAAATCATGACATAGAAAAAATAAATCATGACATGGTGGAATCCTTTTCCTACTGAATATGTTCTAACTTGGTTGTGTGGCTGATATAAATTTCGATTTCAAAACACATTTAAAATGACTTCAAATGCTCTGTAGAATACACTAAGACTAATTATATACTTTATCATGTAGTTCTTTTGAAGATATATTCTGCATACTGTATGGGAATGTGGCGCTTAAAAATACTGTGTGCCGGGCTGGGGAGATGGCTCAGTGGAGTAAGCCCTTCCCTGGCAGGCGCAAGGACCTGAGTTCAATCCCCGGTTCCACAAAAAAAAAAAAAAATACTGTGTGCCACGCACAGAAGACACACACCTCCACTATGTATAGATCTGGATCAGGTATGGCGCACAGAAGAGATCAAAGCACAAAATCCAAACCATGTGCAGTTGAAAATCCTGTTTGCTGAAGCCAAAACTATAGTGAGACCAATATTGCTTCTATATTAAAGTTCCTTTCGTGCTGTTCGCTGTTTACATAAGCTGAAGTTGTGCATTTGAAATATTCAACACACACTAGAAAAGGTAAATAGCCCACAAAGAAAATGAAAGCTGGAGAGCTGGGGAGATAGCTCAGGGCTCTAAGTACCTGCCTGGCAAGGTCAAGGATCTGGTTTCGATACCTGGTCCTGCCTGCTGTGCTGGCCATCAAAACGAGGCATGGTGGCACATGTCTGTAATCCCAGAGCTGGGGGAGTGCTATGCATCTGAGTGGTGTAGTAAGACCCTGTATCATATAATTAAACAAAAAAGTAGATACCAAGCAATTTGTTTTTTGTATACCATTCAGTTTTTTGTTTTTCTTTTTGGGTGGTTTTTTTGGGGTTTTTTTTTTTTTTTTTTTTTTTTGGTACTGGGGATTGAACTCAGAACCTTGTTCTTGCCAGGCAGACGCTTAAGCCACTGAGCTATCTCCCGAGTCTTTACCATTCACTTTTAATTTGACATTACAACTACCATTATTTTACTGAAAGAACTGTAGTGTATTGGGAATTTTGATTATTGAAATTTATCTCCATAAACATAGTCCCTCAGTATTTCAAAAAGAAAGAATTCCCAACAGTTTCTATCACAAGACATTATGAATATGGGAGGTACATGTATATTTAATAATTGTATACTGAAGAGAGTACAGTGAAAGATACTTTCTATAATTAATTCACATTGTTTTCAAACAGTTTAACCTATCTGCATGAACTATGCATAGCTATAAAGTACACGTAATGTTCATGGCAAGCTGTAGGAAAATAGTGTTTATGACATTTTCTTTTGTCCATATTTCTCTGAGTTTTGCAAAGATTGAGTATGCAAAAGTATAAAATGTTAGTACATGTGTAGAAAATAAATCAAGCAGCTAACTTTATTTTACATTCTTTTAAAAAAATTTTATTCATTTTAATAAGAAAAAGAATAGCAATGAAACAGTTTCAATACAGTTTAGTAGGATGTTTACAATAATTAATACATTGAAGATGGCATACAATTTGAAAGGAATTTTTTAAGAAATTAAGATAGAGTGAAAATAAAGAAAATTAATTGTGATTCTGGTAACAAAAAGTGGCAATTGTTAGTACAACAGATAGACAAGAAAGAGAAAAATTCAAAGCTAGTGTAATATCATGACAGAAATTTGTCTATCAGAACAGTTATATAGAAAAACTTTTCATATGGATATATAAATAATTTCACATCATTCTATGCTTGAGATCTATAAAGTCACAGGAAAACTTACCAAACAGGAAAATTTATCTGTCCTATGAGAAAATTAAGAATCTCCATAGTAGTTGTATCTCCACACTACCGTGCCTATGAACAGAGAGGAGTTCATAGAGTAATATTTCACTCCAAGTTTTTGTTAATAGTATTACCAGTGAAATTTACATGCATTCAAAAACATATTAATACTGATCTCATTCTTGTAGAGAAAAGGAAAAGAGGAAAATCAATTCACTGGAAGCAGGTTGGGGAGATGGCTCAGTAGGATAAGCGCTTCACTGGCAAACACAAGGATTTGAGTTCAATCCCCAGTTCCGCAAAAAAAAAAAAAAAAAAAAAAAAAAAATTCACTGGAAGGAAGGAGCTAATTCGAGTTAATTAGAACTGAAAATGCACTTAGAAGGAACAACGTTCACAGTCCACTTTTTTCTTCCTAAACTAAATTCACATGTTCTGTTTCAAATTGAGGTATATATTTAAGGGGCAGGATACATGAGCAAGGTCAGTTTATAAAATATAATTCAATGTACTACCTCCTGGAAAAAGAAAAATGATACTATTAAACGATGACAATATACCAAAATTGTACCTCACTGTGGTTTACAGAGAAAAAGAAAGAGCACTTCTTAGAAAATGAGGACTAGGACAAAAGTCTAGCTGTCCCTCCAAAAGAATGTTATTTAGGGTATCCTATAGCATGCTTTACAATTTGTGGTCCTTTCTTTCCCCCCTTTTTTTTTTTTTTTTTTGTCTGGGACTGTTTATTCAGCTCAGGACCTCCTAGGGATCAAACTCTGAACCTTGTGCTTTCCAAGAAGACCTTACACCACTGAGTTATATCCCTGGCCCCTTGTGGTCCATTTTTAAAATCAAGAATGAGATAAGAACTTTCTGTATCATCCTCTGCTAGATTGGACAGAAAAAAAAAACTCTACATTGTTTTAAATGCATGAAGAAACACACAAAAATATATATTATAAAGGAAGAAATATGAATGATCGGATTTTCCAGTGATACTTTTAAATATCAAATCCTTGTAAAAGAATGAAATTATATTGGATTTCCTGGTTATTGGATAGAAGACTATTACAAAAAAAATGAAAATCTGTTTCCATATCTCAGTCATAAGGCACTCATAGATAAAAGATCAAAAACTGATTTTTGTAAACTTTGAAAATTATAAATATGTAGTGATACATGCTCTAATTGTTTTTAATGATACCAAAATCAAATGCCAAAATACTCCTTGGACAATAAAATTAACTAAGTGGCTTCATAAAGCAAGTCTATAGATGGAGAGGCTCAATAATGGAACTATTCAGTCAATATAGTAGTGTGTTATCCACAGGACTGGCAATGTCAGAGTTGTTGACTGGGGCCTTTCACAGCTCAGAGTATTAACATGGCTTTACTTTTTATACCACGATTTTATACTTTTCTGCTGGATGGCTAAGACCAGGATAAAGCAAGACTTATATAACAAGAAATGCAACTTTTGTATCTGCCAAGGTCAGTCAAATCCCCTCAGGATTTACCCTGAAAGCCTGTACCGCAGTATTTAGATCCTTTGTCAGTGTCAGTTATGTGGATGAGTCACGACCATTGCTTGGCCAATTTGCTCTCTGTGAAAGCCTGAGAGAATGTTTTCTCTCTAGGTGACTCTCTTTAGGCACACTCTACATCATTGATCACTGTCCTCTGTGGCCCCATAATCTCCTTGATCAGAAAATTTGGGACACCACTGAATTATAGGATGTTACAGTATAGGTTCTCCTATGTCCTGAGTCCTCACTGACCTTGAAAGGCTAGGGCCAAAATGTTGGCTGTCCTTGTAGTCCTTCTTTTTCTCTAGTTTTTGGTCTGCAAACTTAAGTTGTTAACCCTCCAGAAGAGAAGCCTAATGATATTATTACCCTATTAACCTCACTATCTATCTGAATATCAAACACTTTAGACATAATATGGAATAGGTATTTTCCATCAAATATTGATATGGTAAACTTTAAATCCCTACAGAATGTGAAGAAAAAAAATAAAAATTAAAAATAGGAATAAACAATTACATATTTTACACAGAAATTTACAAATTAACCATATACAGCTTTGTAGCAGGACAGTCCTATATTTTTTCTTGTCTCTTGTTTTCATTTATTACCCTTTCTTTAAACAAACATTTACTTGAGAGACAGTATAGCAGTAATTGATATGACATTAAAAGCACAGAGATACCATCTCACCCCGAAAAGAATGGCTATCATAAAGAAATCAACCAACAACAAATGTTGGAGAGGCTGTGGGGAAAAAGGAGCCCTTCTCCACTGCTGGTGGGATTGTAGACTGGTGCAACCGTTATGGAAATCATTGTGGAGACTCCTTAAAAAATCAGGACCAGAAATCCCATTCAAGCCAGCTATCCCCCTGCTGAGAATTTTCCCGGAGCACCTGAAAATATCATATCACAGTGATATATGTGCACCTATGTTTATAGCAGCACAATTTGTGACAGCCAAATCTTAGAAACAAACAAAATGCCCATCATCTGAGGAATAGATGAAAAAGATGTGGTATTTCTGTACAATGGACTATTACTCAGCTATAAAGAATGGTAAACTCGAAGCCTTCATATATGTGAATGCCTCTTGAAAATATACTCACAAGTGAAACAAACCAGACCCACCTGTGTAAATATTGTATAGTCTCCCTAGTGTAAGAACTCAAAAAAAGAAATAAAAATAGAAAGTTATAACGCAATGAAAAGGAAAGGGAGAACTTAAGAATTAAATCACAAACAGAGGGCAAGGAGAAAAATGAGGAAACTGGACATGGGCAAAACCATACATTTACATGCACAAGATGGTCAAGGCAATGATCCTGAGATTCTTCAAAATAGTAAAATATAAAAGGGTTGAGAATATATCTCTGTGTATAGTTTCTGAGTTCAACCCCATTTTCTTTTCTGAAAAAGAAAAAAAAATAAAATTTATAATTTAGTTCAAGTCCAGTGAGTTTCTGAGGATTGGTTTGTGAAAAAGGAAAAAAAATAAAGTCACACTCTTAGGTAAGTGACAATTTCAATTTTCCTAGATATGGAGCAGTGTGTGAAGTGTCCAGATGATCGGTATGCCAATACTCAGAGAAACCACTGCCTGGAAAAAGCTGTGACTTTTCTGGCTTATGAAGACCCCCTGGGGAAGGCTCTCGTTGGCACTGCCATGAGTCTCACTGTCCTCACAGCTGCTGTTCTTGGGCTCTTTGTGAAGCACCGAGACACTCCCATTGTCAAGGCCAACAACAGGGCTCTCAGCTACACCCTGCTCATCTCCCTCTCCTGCTGTTTCCTCTGCTCCTTGCTCTTCATTGGTCGTCCCAACACAGCCACCTGCATCCTCCAGCAGACCACATTTGCAGTTGTGTTCACGGTAGCTGTTTCCACTGTCTTGGCCAAAACCATTACTGTGGTGCTGGCCTTTAAGGTCACTGCTCCAGGCAGGAGGATGAGACAATTGCTGGTATCAGGGGCACCAAACTTCATTATCCCCATCTGCTCCCTGATCCAACTCACTCTCTGTGCAGTATGGATGGGGACAAATCCACCCTACATTGACACAGATGCTCATTCTGAACATGGCCATATCATCATCATGTGCAACAAGGGCTCCCTCACCGCCTTCTACTGTGTCCTGGGATACCTGGGCTCCCTGGCCCTGGTGAGCTTCACTGTGGCTTTCCTGGCCAGGAACCTGCCAGACACCTTCAATGAAGCCAAGTTCCTGACGTTCAGCATGCTGGTATTCTGCAGCGTGTGGGTCACCTTCCTGCCCGTGTACCACAGCAGCAAGGGAAAGGCCATGGTGGCCATGGAGGTCTTCTCCATCTTGGCCTCCAGTGCAGGGCTGCTGGGCTGCATATTTGTCCCCAAGTGCTACATTATTTTGTTAAAGCCAGAGAGAAATTCTTTTTCCAGGACCAATTGTAAAACACATCCTAGAAGAAAAAGCCATCTTAAATTAAAATTATATAGTGTGTGAGGCAATTCTGCACCATTTTCCAGTCTTATATTTGATAGTTTGGGATTTACTATAATAAATAAAGGATGTACTTCTTAAATATTCTTATACTTGAAATTGTAACACACTTTTCAACTGGAATTTTATTCTAGAGTTTTGCTCAGTTGATTCTACAACCAATCTATTTGTGCTCAGTAATGATTGCATTATTTTTTTGTTTTCCCCTTGAAATTCTCAACAATTATAAATACAATACACCTTTATTTATAGATCGATAATCCTGAATCCCCTAAAGCATTTAAGAATATTTTTCACGTTAGTTTTTTTCTTGTAGTATTTTAGAAATCACTGTTAATATGTTATAAAATACTTTTAAAGTTAAGATAGCCAGATGTTAAAGTTGTATTTTAACTCAGGGTTGCATTTGTTAATGCTTAGTAGTGAGCTTTCCTATGCATAACTGTATCAATCTTTCCCTGTACCCAGGTTTAATAATCCTTTGCTAACATGAATCATGTATGTGCCTAGTTTTCGTGTTATGCACATTGTATGCAAACATCAGTGGGGAAGGGATGCCACGCTGCCTGGCTGCACTCATGCTGGAGTGGAGAATAGGGCCTTGATGGCCAGGGGGACACTGCAGCGAACTGTCCCAGTCCAGTGGGTGCAAGGAGGAACAAAGGGGAGGAAGGGGAGGACCACCAGGCTGCTGGCTGACCCGCACAAGGCCTCCAGCTGGAAAGGAAGAGCCATGTGCCTCTTCTACCAACAATTCATAGAAATTGTGTCACTTTCAGTGCTGAAATACTAGTCCCACTCAGGCTGAGCCAGTCCTGTAGCAAAACCTAAACTCTATTTTGTCATGAGGGCTGAAATCCACCTTGGCCCAGTTACCACCGATTGTGGCCCACCCACTTTTTAGAAGAACCTATTCGCTTTTCCTAAGATGTTTTTCCCTGAAAAACAAGGATGCATATGCATGCCCACTGCAACAGAACTCTATTAGTTAAGCATACTATATATCATAGTAAAATTGGTTTTTAAACAAGGAAACTTGTGAAAAGCCATGATAAATACAGAGCATCGGGGCATCCCAGTAAAAGTAAGACAGGCTAGGACAGGCAGCCCACCAGGCTTCCGCCCACCTGGCACCACGCAGAGTGCAGACCTGGGACCTGGGACACAGAAGCAATGGGCAAGAATTGGAGGCAAGGAACTCGACCTGCAGGTGCCTACAGATAACTTCGGTGCAAACTACAAAACGGAATAGTACTTACAGCTTTTAGAACAACCATTCAGGTAAAAGTAACCTTTCCCAGAAATTGGGCAAATACATAAAGCACTCAATATGTTAAAATCAGCCTTGGCGCTTACTAGTAAGTTGATCAAGTCCAACAAGTGCTTAATGCCTATGTTCGGAGAAAGCGGCAAAAGGTCACTCAGACACCCTGGCACTGCCCGCAGAGTCCCAGGAGGTCGGCACAAAAGACAGGCTTCTGATCAGAGGTGACACCCACAGCCACCGCCAACAGGGACCCGCACGCAGCAAAAGCCGCGCCCGGAGGGCAGTGCGCAAGCGCAGTGACGCCGCGGGGGGGAGGCGGGGTCACAAAGCCCCGCCCCCCGCCTCCCGAGTGCGCCTGCGCAGTGCTGAGGGGGCGGGATGAGGCTTTCCCGCGGCGCTCGGAGGTGACGCTAAGGCGCGCGCGATTCCAATTCAGTTTAGGTTTCTCTCTGGCAAGGGCCCCGCACTGCGTTCCTGCCCAGGGGATGGAAGGTGAGCGAAGCACTGAGCAGTGGCGGAGCTGAGGAAGCGGGGAGCCGGGTCGAGGAAGGTCAGAACTTGCGGCAGTAGGTGGTGAGGGGCTGAAGGAGAGGGGCAGGGCTTGGAGGAGCGAGGGGCGCGCGGGGTGGGAGGTGGGGCGGGGGGGCGGGGCCACATGATGGATGGGGGATTGGCCAATGGGAGAGAGGGGCGGGGCGTGGAGGGCGGGGCCTTCGGAGGCCGGCGCCTTCGGAGGCCCGCGCGGAGTTTAAGGTCGGAATAGCAGCTTGCTGGCCTCGGGCCTTAAACCGGGAGACCTGGGTCCAGCGCTTTCACAGCGTTTCGTGCTCGCCACTCTGGAACTCGCGCACCACAGCCTTGGTGCGGAGTTCCACGGAAACTCCGGGAGGCGGGAGGTCCTGCTTGTGCCCACAGGGGGAAGGTGATAGGCGATGTCCTCAGCAGGGCTGAGTGAATTTCTTGCTGTGGGATTTGCTCTCCCCTGTGCTGCTTCTGGAATACTCCCATCCACTGTTAGCCTCACAGGAAAGGGAAATGACTGCCTTTGTGCCCTTTTGTTTTATGCTGTCATTCTAAAGTCGAATACCTTAGTCTTTTACCTTCCTTATGGCGCAGAGAGCGCGGGTGGGGCAAGACGATGCCCTGGGGGGTGGGGATAGCAGAGGCCTGGCACCTCCTGGGCTCAGCCTCCTGCTGGGTGGATGTGGTCAGCCCCCTCCCCTAGGCTCAGCTCCTGCACCCGTGAATAAGCTGATGGAAATACAACCACACAAGGTGGTTGGCCTTGGGCTGGACACCCCTCTACCCACACCTGTGCAGAGCAGAAACCTCTCGCCACCCCGCCATGCTGGCACCTCCTGGGCTCAGCCTTCTGCTGGGTGGACGTGGTCAGCCCCCTCCCCCGAGGCTCAGCTCCTGCACCCGTGTAAAAGCTGATGGAAGTACAACCACACAAGGTGGTTGCCGTTAAGGACTGGCACTTGGACTGGACCTTCAGGTCAGGACACCCCTCTACCCACACCTGTGCAGAGCAGAAACCTCTCGCCACCCCACCATGTCTAGCTGGCTACTTACCTTTTTATCAGGGTTTTATTAATTACCCTGGAAGTGCTAAAGCCCCTGTCCTGAGACCTGAAAGTGAAGAAGAGCAGAACAGGAGAGGATTCCTCCCAGGTAAGAACGGTGAATAGCGTAGGTTCAGTTAGTGCTGAGAGCTGTGACGAAATAAGTTCAAGGTGATATGATAAAGGTGTGACCTAATGTGGCATGCGTGCATGGGGTGTGTGTGAGTGTGTTGTGGGGGTCTGTGTGTGTATTGGAACGTGTTGAACACTGATAGGTGACCAAATTCGACCTGGAGTGAGCTGAGTCCTGAATATCGGGTCGTCATGTCCGAGGGAGGGGAAGCAGCGATTGCAGGGCCCAAGCTGATGAGGTTGGCTCGGGGCCTGGCCATCGGGCGTGTGGACTGAGCAGCAAGCTATCTGGGTGGAGAGGAGCAGGCAGCACGCGTCAGCATTGTCCTGTGATAGAGGACTAGGAAGCATGAGAACTTTCCCATGGCAGAGGCAGAGGCTGTGTGCAGGCTAAAGAGCTCTGTATTCAGAAAGTAGAAGCAGGCAAAGGAAATCAGCCTGGGGCTCCATCAGGCATCTGGCCCAGCAGCAGAGTGGGCATCCAGGAGTCTCCCTCCTCACGAGGCTCCTCTTGCTGTCTGGAAGGCTAAGCAAGTGCCTCCACCCACCTGCAAGCAACCCGCCCTGCCTGCGACAGGGGTTCAGTGAGTGTCCTGTCAGTAACTGTCGCTTGCTTTTCAGAGAGAGCTCCTGCAACCCCAGGAGCTTGAGGGAAGCAAGGCCATGCGTAGCTGGTTTAAGCACTGCTTTTCCTTTTCCTAGTGTGACTGAGGACTGATTTACTTTCTCCCCTCCCCACCCTCCCGTGCTTTAGCCTGAACCCAGGCCTTTCTGCAGGCCAGTGCTCTGCCATGAGCTTCTGCCCCAGCCAGGAATTGCTGTTTCCTTTTAAAATTAATTTTATTGGTGCATTTTAGGTACACATACTGCTGACATTGATCATGTGGAATGTGTGCCTGTGTGTGACACAGCTTGGCTCTGTTTTCCCCTTTCCCTTCCTTCCCTTCCACTGCTCTTCTCCGTATTTACAGACATTTTGTTTCCATTTTTTCCTTTTATTTTCCCTTTGCCTTTTCCCACCCCTTTCTCTATTCCCCCGTCTCATTTGAACATTTTCTTTCAATTTCACGGTATCTAATACACATTTTGGTGTTTATTTACTCTTTCAGTTTCTCACGCCGCAAAAACCATGCAGCATTTGAACATGTGTGTCCCATTACTTTCACTTAAGAGTGGGGGCTCAGTGTGTGTCCATTTGCCTAGAACTGTCCGAGCTTACGCTTTGGTAGGACTGAGTGGTGCTCCACTGTATCAACCCGTCTTCTGGATGCACTCGGCAGCTGATGGGTGTTTGGGTTGTTTCCAAGATTTACAAAGGTCAGTCTCGTTTTCCAAGGTATTACAAAGCTGTGCCACTATGAACCTGAGCATGCATATATCTCTGTAGTAGGGTGCTATTAATTATTTGGGGATGATGCCAAGAAGGGGAAGAGCTGAGACAAGTGGAACCTGCTAGTTTTTTGAGGAATCTCCGTGCTGATTTTCACCGTGGTTCCACTGCAGGCCCACCAGCAAGGGAGAAGGACTCCTTTTCCCCACAGCCCCGCCTCCAGCATGTAAGTGGTTGATTTCTTGATAATAGACATTTTTTTCTGGAGAAAGATGGAATCAGAGTGTTGTTTTAATTCACATCTCTTGAATGACCAGTAATGTTGAACATTTTTTTTTCATCTATTTATTTGCTATTTCTGTTTCTTCATCTGAGAAATGTGCATTCATTTCAGATGCCCTCTTTTGGATTAGGTCTTTAAATTTGGATAGTCTGATTTTACTGAGTTCTTTATATATTCTAGATGTTAGGCCTTTAGTTGAAGAAGGGCTGGTAATTTTTTCCCCACTTTAGGTTGTCTGTTCACTGTGTTGGTGGTTTCTTTTGCTATGCAAAAGCTTTTTGGTATGGTAAGATCACAGTTATTGATTCTTTGTAGTATTTTCTGTGTAGTTAGGGTTTTGTTCATAAAGTCTTTGCCCACATTTATATCTTCAAGAGTTCAACCTATTCTCTTTTAATATTTCAATCTTTTATCCTTTCGATGTTAGTTTAGTGCATGGTGAGAGATAATGAGTCTAGCTGTAGTCTCTGACCTGTGGAAAGCTAGCTTTTCCCCCACTATTAATTAAAGAAGTTGTCTTTCTTTAAGTGATGGTGTTTGAGCCTTTTGTAAGACAGCAGCTGGCTGAGTATGTTCAGAGTTGTTTCTCCGACCTCTAATCTGTCCAATTGATACTGGGCTCTGTGTTTTTCTCAGTACTGTGCTGTTTTTGTCACAGTAGCTCTGTAGCAGAATTTCATGGCCTGCCTTGCTTTTGTTGCCCAGGATTGCTTTTGGTATCCTAGGTCTCTTCTGGTTCCTAATCAATTTTAGAAAGGTTTTCTTTAATCCTGTGAGGTATGCTATTAGTATTGATTGGGATTACACACAATAGACCTATATACCAGTTTCGGGAGCGTGTACATTTTCACTATATTGGTTCTGCCTTCCTCGAAAGAAAGGATAGCCTTCTGTTGTCTCATATCCTCTTGGGTCTCGTTTTTTTCAAGTACTGTTGTTTTCAAAGTAAAGGTCTTTTACTTCAGTTAATTTATATCTTGTTTTTTGATGCTACTGTGAAGGGTGTTGTTTCTTTCTTAGTGAGTTAGTTATTAATTTTTATACAGGAATGCTATGAGTTTTGTATCCGGCTATGCTACTGAATTCATTTAGTAAATCTAGTAGTCTTTTGCTGAACGTTTTGGTGTTATCTATGTAGACTATCATGTCATGCACAAATAATGTAATGTAACTTCTTTTTGTACTAATTCCTTTTATTTATCTCTCATCTAATTATTCAGATGGATGTTTCCACAACTGTATTGAGCAGTTGTGGTAACAGTGGATGTCCTTGTCTTGTTCCTGAGTTTATCTTTTTTTATTATTTTTTTCTTTTTTGGCAGAATCAGGGATTGAACGCTGACCCTTGTGCTTGCCAGGGAAACACTTATTCTACTGAGCCTTCTCCCCAGCTCCTGTTTCTGACTTTAGATGAAAGCTTTCAGGCTTTAACTGTTGAATATGATGTTGGCTTTGATTTCTCATAGATGGCTTTTATCAGATGGACATAAAGATTGGCTATTCCAACCATCTGCAGGGTTTTTATCATGAAAGGGCTTTGGAATTTGGATTTTGTCTGATAATATGCACAAAATAAATTCAGTGCCTGTGCGTTTACTTAAGCACATTCTGTGGGCTAGAATATGGCCTGTTTTGGTCTGTAAACATCCCGTGCACCTCTGAGAGTGTGTCTGATGTCGTGGCGTGGAGCACTTGTCAACATCTACTAAGTCCATTTGGTTACAGTTTGGGTCAGAACTGACATTTCTTTGTTGATGTCTTGTCTAGTTAATCTATTTTTGATAGTGAGGTGTTGAAGTCCTCCATACAATATGATTTTTTCATGTCCATTCATATTTTTTAATACATTTCAATGCACTGGTATTTGGTGATTGCATATTTACGATTGTTAGCTCTTCCTCTTCAGGTCTGTAGTGATTTTCTTTATCTCCTTTGATCAGTCCTGGCTTGAAGTTCACTTTGTCTGCAAATAGGATAGCTACTCATGCTTTCTTCTGGGTTCCTGTTACATGAAATATTGTTTCCACCTTTTGAATTTTAGTCTGTGAATTGCTTTATTTAAATGTATTTAATACAGAGTCTACAGGGTCTCACTACACAGATCTGACTCATAGTGATCCTCCTGTGTTCAGCCTCCCCAGCACTGGGATTACAGGCGGGCAGGACTGTACCCTCTCCACTCAACATGCCTGGGGGAAGGTCCAGTGCTGCACTGGCGATCGATACCTGTCCCTTCACTTGCCTGAGCAGGTGATTATCCACTGAGCTGTCTCAGTGGTCCTTTATTGGGTTCTTGGGATTAGATTTTTATCTGAAGCCGCATTCGCTTGCTTTGATGCTCGCCCTGATATCACTGCACAGTCCAAGAGGGTCGCTTTCACCTCACTCCATCACACTGCCCCCTGGGGTCGCCTTTGGGGAGCTGCTGATCTGGGCTTGCATCTGCCTTCCTTGTCTTCCCATTTTCTATCTTTTATTTCATGTAATTCCTGCTTTGATGCTTAATAAATTATTCATGGCAGGTATCTTCATTGCTAGTATCTGGAACCCTTAGGAAACGAGTACTTTTCCGAGATGTCTTCCAGTTGTAGCTGGCTTGGGGTTTTGGTCTGTTGTAAGATCCTGCGGCTTAAATTATTGGGGTGACGAGTTGCTGCCCGGGTGGCCTACTGCTCCTGGTTCTCCGGCACTGGCCTGTGGTACTATTTATGGTCCTCAGGTGGTCTCAGTCTTCTCCTATGAGGAAGCGCAACTGATTAGACCAGTTATGTCGCCTTGGCCCAAGTAGCACAGTGAGTAAGAGCAACAGCATCCAACACTCCCCAGCAAATGACAGCCTTGGTAACTATTAAATTGCCACCTTAAACCATACGAACCGTATTTGTAGTTACATAGCAAATCAAAACTACACCAGAGAACTGTGTACCATAAATGTTGCCTCAGTGTGGCAGTTTTACCTTCAAACAAGAAAATTAAAATGGGTTCAAGGGAATCAGAGAAATGGCAGAAAAGGGATTGGAAGCAAGGCTGGAGGACAAAAGAAGATTATGCAGGCTTTGGGCACAGGTGGAGAAGATGGAAGGAACGGGAAGGCAAGAAAGGAAAAAGAGATACAGAAGAAAAGAAAGTTGCTAGGTACATGTTCTGGTATAAAAACAATCCAAAAAGAAAGGAAGAAAGAAAAGACAAAGTTGCAGCCCGCTGGTGCTCGGGCGCGCATTCCTCTAACGCTTGCGGTCACTAGAGGGAGCCTGCCCTGCAGGCGTTCCTAGCGCTGACCTCTGCTGGCCGGCTCCAGGCCGTCTCCTGGCCAGTTACCTGCTCCTGGGGGCCTCTGAGCCTGAGTAACTCACCAGCCCCTAGTCCACAGCGTCCACTGCCCTGCTCCACCGGTGTGCTTCCCTGCGGAGGCCTCGGGGGCCGCCAGAAGTTGTGCCTCTGCAGGCCCGGTGCGCCCTGCCCTGAGCGAGTGTCCAGGAACAAGCCCTGCTGCGCCTGCCTGTTGTGTGTTGCCCTCCTCGTCGCTCTCCTTGGGCCTCTCGTTCTCATTTCAGGGCCTCTCTGAGTCCCACAGACCCACCACCTCCTCGTCCTCCCCCTCTTCCTTTTCTTCCTCCCCCTCCTCTTCCTCAAGCTCCTCTTCCTCCTCTTGCTCTTCCTCATGCCGCTATATTCCATCATCCAGATTCCAGCTGTCGAAGAGGCTGTTTCTCTGCTGCTCACCACAGACAGGTGTCAGAAGAGCATCTGGCTAGGGCTGAGCTGCGGGGAGCTGAGGGTGGCGGCCTTCTTGGGCTCCTGCTGCCGCCGCTGCTGATTGAAGGCTGTGGGTGAGATACCTGACTGTGGACTCAGGCAGGTGTACAGCAAACGGAAAGAACGTGGCCCCCTTGGCCGCAACATGTGCCACCCAGCACACGCGTGGGGCTGCAGCAGGCACGCATGCACTGCTTGTAACAGAAGTAACATGCACTTCTTTTTCTTTCCTCTCTAGAGCCATGGCTGACAAAACCCAGGAAGATGGTGGTGTCAGTTTCCCCTTTCCCTTCCCGCCCTACTCCATCCAGAAGGACTTCATGGCTGAACTGTACCAGGTGTTGGAGGCTGGAAAGATTGGGATATTCGAGAGTCCCACTGGCACAGTGAGTCTGCATGCCACGGGGCGATGGCCGCGAGCGTCAAGCGGCCTTGCTTCGCCTCGCCTCGCCTCGCCTCGCCTCGCCTCGCCTCTGCAGATTCCCATGACTGGGAGTCGCCTGGAGGTCCCACGGTTTACCTTTCTGAGTGCCTGACTCTGCTCCCGCAGCAAGTTACTGTCAAGAAGAATTACTGCTTGCCCCTGTGCCTGCAGGGCTGGCTGCGACCCTTCCTGGTTTGCAGTCTCGTGAGCCTCACCTGGGAACCCGTGAAACCCTTGGTCTTCGGTCCTTGCTGTGTGGACTCAGGTCCAGTTCTCAGTCTCTCTCCTCTTTGTGAGCTGGCTATTTTTGCTCCTGCGTTTTCGGTTTTGTGACTGTGAATCTCTCAGCTTCTGTGCAGCATTAGTGGGCTGTGGCAGGAGCGGGCAGAGCAGTGTTGGTCCAGCTTTGCCTGCTTGTCCCTCTGCCTGCCTTCTGCCTTTCCATCCCCATGCCCTGCTCCCTCCCGCATACTCCCCGGCCCTTACATGCTTTTCTGTGCCCTCATCTCCTGTGACCATCCCTGAGGAAACCCGCCCCTGTGACACAGTTCCTCTTTGTGGTCTGGAGCCTTCTAAATCACACCTCCAAGGCATCCTGTGCCCTGTCGCACTCGAGTGGCATTCTGTTCACCAGCCTGCTTCTGATGTACCCTTCCTCCCACGACCGCCCGAGATGCCTGGTTTCCCTGCAGGGCACTCTCCAGGCCTTCTGTGATTCCAGCACTGGAATGGGCATCCTAACTTGATCTCCAGAGTGCCCTATGTGGCACTGTAGCTCTTGGAGTGCTGCTCCCTAGACTTCACCGCAGAGTGTATTGTCCTTAACAGGATCCTTTACACACTTCCCCTGGGCACGTTCCGGGGTGTCTTGCACCTGCGCACCCCCGCCTCAAGCCTGAGCCCTCTGTACCAGGAGGTGTTGGGAAGGTGAATGAATTTCCCTGCCACCCGGGCCTGGGCATTGGCTAGGGTGGTGCCGCCCAAGATGCCCTCCTTCATCTGGGTGCTCTGGGCAAGATCAGTGAGGTCTGTTCTGAGGCGGGGAGCATTTGGAGCTCTGTTTCATTTCCTGTTTTGGTACTAGGGATCAGGAAGGTCCTGCCTTCCCCTGGTGAGGCAAGTGCTCCTTCCCCATCCCAGCATTTCACCACACAGCCTTTCAGCAAGGTCCTCCCCAACTTGTTTCTTTTCTGTCCTTCTTTGCAGTGCTGGGGAGGATCCCAGGGCCTCACGCATCCTAGACATGCGTTGTGTCACTGCGCTACACTATTCATGCGCTCTGTCTGTGATTTTTGTTTTCTTTTTGCTGGGTGGAACTGTGTGGGCCTCCCTTGGCCCTTTCATCTGTGTTAGAGCGGACCCAAGGGTAGTTTGGACCCGGAGCTCCAGGACTTCCTCAGTTGGCTTGCAGTTAGAGGGAGGACACTGAGCAGTTGTCTGTCCCTGCGTGGGTCGTTGTTACGGTGGTGTGGCAGTGGATATGGTCTCTGGCCATCCCTCACCAGTGAAGCTCTAGACCTTTTCAGGGCGAAGTCCAGTGGAGGGTGAAGATATAAAGACAAGAGTTAGGAAACAAAGCTAAAGCGAGGCGGAGCCCCCTCTCCGCATGGGAGAAAAGGGACAGCTCAGTGGCTAATGCGTGTTTATATCCTGGGCAGGTCGATGTCACGTGATACCCCGTTGCCCAGCAGCCTGTCTGCTTGGCTTGCTGGGGCGTTCCTTGTCCTCGGAGCTGGAGCAGCCTGGTCATGGGGCTCACCTGGGCGGTCTTTGTTCTCAGGCTTGGCCTTGCCTTAGCCTGTATGTGATCGATCTGCGGCATCAGCCGCTCATACTGTCCTGGATGCTGCCATTGAGTCTCAGAAGCTGAGTGAAATGGGTGTGAGGCTCTTCTGAAGCCGCGTGGTCCGGCCCCTGGGCTGCAGCTTGCTCTGGCTCCGGGCCTTTCAGGGTCTCCTGGAAGCTGGTAGCTTCCGCATCTCCAGAGAATGATGATCTTAGGGTTACTTTATGTGTGTATGGACACGCCCAGCCCCAGCCGCCTCCCTGCTGTGTACTGATGTTCTTCAGATCCCACTGGAGGCAAATGCCTCCAGGATCTTATCTAATTAACTCATTTCATTGCTTGCCCCAAAAGCGGATGTGATTCTCCTTCACCCCTTCCCACATACATGTGTGGTAGCACACGTGACAAGGTCACCCTGAGCGCCGGAGCTGGTGAGCGGGAGCCAGGAGGAACCCAGGCAGCCTGGTGGTGGGGTCCGGAGCCCTAGCCGCTAACCTGCGCCTTCTCTCTGGTGCACACAGAGCACTGTCTCCCCATGGTGCATTCAGCTTGGAGCAGGCTTGGAAACCATCCAGATGCTCTGAGATACTCTGAAATGATAGCCTGTCTGTCCCCAGACAGAAGGGGAGGCCTGAGCCAGCCAGGTGGGCCTGGAGCATGGCAGATTGTGTGGACCTCTGTGTGGCCCCTCTGGGCTCTGGAGCACAGGCTCCCCTGAGGCACTGCTTGGCAGGAACCCATTGTCTTGTGCTCTTGGGGCCTGACCACCAGGGGGCAGCAGGGCAGCCCTACTGGAGGCTGCAAGGGAAGGGTGTGTCCTGGTCCCTCTCCCTTCTTTAGGGACCCTCTTCACCCTCTGTGGCTGCATCCTGACTCCCCCTTTCCCTGAGGACAGTGTCCTTAGGAAGGATCAGGCTCCTCCAGCCTCAGGTTCTCTTATCTACGTGATCCTGTCTCCAAATAAGGTCGCATGGAGATGGGCAGGAACATCCCCATAGCAGCATTAGGTACCACCTAATTTTTAAAGCCAGAGCTTTGAAGCCCCTCCTGAAATGGGGAACGCCCTGTCATTGCACCGCTCGGAAGGCTGGAGGTGTGGGTCAAGGGGCAAGTGAAGGGCCAAGACCCTGCTTCAGAAGTGGAAGAAATACTCCCTGGGGCGGAGCACTGGCCGGAGCGAACAGGGCCCCAGGGAGCCCACAGGCAGGTGAGGCTGGCGCTGCGCCTGTGTCCCAAGCCATGTCTTCCCACAGGGAAAGTCTTTGAGTCTCATCTGTGGGGCCCTGACCTGGCTCCGAGACTTTGAGCAGAGGAAACAGCAGGAAGAGGCGCGCTGTCTCCTTGAACCTGGAGCCGGCCCGGTGCCTGAGGGGCAGGACCCGCGCCCTGCGGCCCCCAGCACCTCCAGCCCAGGAGGAGAGCCAGACTGGGTCACCCAGTTTGTACAGAGGAAGGAGGAAAGGGACCTGGCTGAGCGTGTGAGGGTGAGTCTGGGTGGCGTCCTTGTGAGCCGAGGTTCCCTGTCCCCATTCACCGCGCCCTGCGCGGGTGGCTCCCTCAGGACAGGGAAGGGCTAGCTGAGCAGGCCTTGGCCTGGGCCGGTGCAGACTTCCGCCCCATGCAGCCAGCTGACTTGCTGAACTCCATTGTCCCAGGGGCCTACCGCAGCCCCGTGTTCTAGTGGCCGGCAGGGTCCCACAGGCATCTCAGGGCCGTGTCCCCCCAGGAGGAGCAGCTCAGGAGGAGGAAGCGAGAGGAGCGACTGCAGCAGACACGCCACAGTGCGCAGCTCAAGCACACAGCCCGGCGCCGGGTGGGTGCCCTCATCCTGCCTTGTCACTGAGGACACTTGCTGGGTGGCCCGGCCTCAGGCTGCACTGTGTCCCCGAGGGCCAAGTCTTCTTCCCCAGCTTGGCCCCTGATGGGTGGAGATGCGGAGCCTGGAACTGGGCTCCTTCCCCGAGAGCAGCAAGGCTGCATCCATGGCCACGTGGGGCTATCTTTGGTGACAGCCAGGCTGAGGCCCAGGGTGTCGGGGACCAGGGCCTCTGTGCTAGGCTTCTGCTCTGGTCCTGCTGTTCAGAGGCAGGAAGAAGAGGAGACTGAGGCCCTCCTCCGTCTCAGCCGGGAAGTGCTGTCTGAGGGGCCTGGGACGGAGCAGCTGGAGCAGCTGGAGCCTGGGGAGGAGGAGCTGGTGCTGGCAGAGTACGCGAGTGACGAGGAGAGGAGGGCAGCCAGCAGGTGAGACAGCACTGCCCGTCACCCTGCGTCTCTGCTCCCGAAGGGGGAACACCTGTGGCATGGTGACCCCAACTCTCAAGGCCTCCCTGCTCCTGGCCCTGGTCCTCCTCCTCCTCCCAGAGGCACCAGAGCAGAACGGGAGGTACCTCCCTAAGCGGCGCCTTGCCCAGGTCCCTGAAGGACTCCCGAGAGTCTCCTTTCCCACTGAATTCCTCCAGTACCCAGGCGTGTGCCCTCTCGTCTCTAGGCTGGACCTTCCCTAACTTAGGGCCTGGTGCTGCCTTCCCACTGTCCCAGGGTCCTGTCTCCTCCCTTGAAAATGTCTCCCCCTCCTGCAAGGCCCAGGAGTTGCTGTCACAGCCCAGGGTTGGCACCCCACTGCATTTCCCTGGAGACTGTCGTGTTTGAATCTGTTGTTCCATCTTCCTCACTCATGGGGCCTTCGGCTATGGCAAGGGCCAGAGCCTCCTGCCTGGGGAGCCTAGGTCCAGTGCCTGTCACGCGGGGCTACATCCCAGGCCTTTCTTAATTGTTTTTGTTTTGAGTGCAGACTCCTGGGTTGTGACTTGGGCTTGGGGACCCGGGGCTCCTTCCCCTTCCCTTTCCTGCCCAAGTTCCCTGGGTGGCACAGACCCAGGCAGCAAGGGAGGGGGGGCCACAGTGTTCAGGGGGCCTGGGCCATGGGCCTGGCGGCTGTGGGGAGCCTCACTGCTGGGAGAGGCTCTGCCATCCCTCTGCCGAGCTCCCCGCCAGCCATCCGTCTGGGAGTAGAGGTCCCTTGGCAAGGGCCTGGGGCTTATTCCTCTGGTCACTTACTAGCCCTCAGTGAGCTGAGTGTGCTGAGGGAGCACTCTCCTGTGTTCCATCTCAGGGTGGATGAGGAGGAAGACCTGGAGGAGGAACACGTCATGAAGGCAAGATGCCCAGGCTGCTGTGCGGGGCTGCCCTCCACGCATGCGTACACATATAGACATGCTTGCGCACACTCACGTGCACATACACACATGCGCACACTGGTTTTCTCTTCCTGTCTTCACTCTGAAATGCCAGAGGGGTGGGAGTGTCCATCACAGCCTCCACCCTTTGGGAGAAGCCCTCCCTCCACACTGTCCCTAAGACTCGGGGACTCAGCCACAGGACTGGGCAGCAGTGGGGACACTGCCTGCCCACCCTAGCCCCCACACCCTGCCAGAGGCCACAGCCGGCTCAGGCTCGGCCTGGCTGCAGGCGCATGGGTGGCCTCCCCAGTGCCATGTGCTGTGGGGTGGTGCTGTCTCGCTTGGCACCTGCCTTTGCAGCCGCCTCCCTGTTCCTGCAGGCTCTCAGGCCTCTGTTCACAGAGCATTTGGGGCCGTCCATGTCCCCCTTTGACTTTCCCTTCCTGTGCTCTGAGCAGATTTACTACTGCAGCCGGACGCATTCCCAGCTGGCCCAGTTTGTGCAAGAAGTTCGGAAGAGCCCCTTTAGCAAGGAGACCCGGCTGGTGACCCTCGCTTCCCGGCAGGTGAGCAGCATCAGGTGCCCAGCCCGGTGCCCCGCGCCCATGTCTTCTGGTCCCAGAATGGGGTGCTGCTGAGGTGCTGCGCTATTGGCACACGGCCATGCCCTGCCTGCCATTCCTTGGGCCGAGAGAGTCCCTCACCACACCACTCCTTCGCCTCATCCTCTTGGCTTTAGACCCTGTGTGTGAATGAAGAGGTGAGGAGCCTGGGCTCTGTGCAGCTGATCAACGACCGCTGTGTGGAGATGCAGAGACACCAGTATGGTAGGCGCCATGACTGAGTGTGGCCGTGCTGGGGTGGGGACAGGAAGGCACAGGACGGTGCAGCGGGCTCAGACCGGGGGCACAGGAGTGTAAGAACCCAAGGTCCAAAAGCAAATAACGGAGGGCAACCCTGCCCCTCTCCTAGAAGGACAGGGCATGTTAATTTCTGGGCCTTTGCGGAGCTGAGTCTCTGGCTTGGGGATGGATTTACGGGCAGTTATGGAAGACATAAGGTAGCACTGGATGACACATCATCTGCATGAGCTGATGACACTCCTGGGGTCCACCATGGGAAATAGTCTGTGTCCCCAGCCCTCTCTTGGTCTCTGAGACACTCGCGTCTTTCCCATCCTTGCTACTGGGCCTGTGCCTCCCACAGAGAGTAAACACAGAGCAGAGGCAGACATGCCCAAGAGGCGCCGGCAGGAGAGCCTGGCTGCCTGCCCCTTCTACAACCTCGAGCAGACGCAGCTGCTCCGGGACGAGATCCTGGTGGAGGTGAAGGACATGGAGCAGCTGGTGGCCCTCGGGCGGGAGGCCCGGGGCTGCCCCTATTATGGAAGCCGGCTCGCCATCCCTGCAGCCCAGGTGAGTGGGGAGGAGCTCGTGCTCATGAGGGGGACCCTGTGCTGCTTCGTTCTGGGAAGGGGCTGCCCACAGGGCCAAGTTGTCAAGCTCTGCAGAGACCCGAGGGCGGGAGGCAACACTTCGGTGTGGCACCCTGAGCTGTGTGGGTGCTCGTGGACAACCTGAGGACCGCTGCTCCTCCCCACTCCATCTCGGGCCTGGCCCCGGCCTTCTGTGCTGTGAGATGGCCTTCATGAGTGCTGGACCTGCTCACAAGCAGACAGGAGGAAGCCCAGGCACTCGGCATCTTGAAGTTTTAGATCTGCCCTCGTGGTGTCCCCTGGTGTAGCCGGGGTCTGCCCGTGACACTCCGGCCAGGGAGGAGGGTGACTGGCCGATCTTGTCCCCGTGAGCAGGCAGCGGTGCTCACGCCCCAACTTGGACCTCGTGTTTCCTGGATTCTTGGTGTTTCTCATTGTTTGTCAGTAGTTTAGCTGGAGAATCTTTCCTCGTTTTTGCGGTACTAGGGGTTGAGCCTGGGCTTCTGTGCTAAGCTGTGTCCTGCCCTTTTTTCTGAGACGGGGTCTCATTAACTTGCTGAGTTTCACAGGGCCGGGCTGGTGCTCGCCATCCTCCTGACTGCCGCCCCGCGTGCCAAGATGAGGGACGTGCGCTGCCATGCCCACCTGGTGAAGGCCCTGCAACAGCACGCACAAGCATTGACAGAATGCGTTTGCTTGTTTTGGTTGTCCCCCTCCATGCCTCAGCCCTCAGTTAAGGCCGTTTATCGAGCCACGTGGCAGATGAGGAGACCAAGGCTCGGTGGCTAGAAAGCTGTGTGCACAGCTGCGGCACTAAACGTTGGTGTTGGTGGCTGGGCCCTCAGAGCCACCTGGGGTCTCCAATGAGGATCAGCAGCTAGGTCCCCGTTCCTTCTCATCCTCGGTCCCTGGTCCTCTTCTGGGTCAGTCAGCTGTAGGTCCTCCGTGTCCACTTCTGGGAGGGGCTGGTGCTGTAGCCACAGGTCTATGTGGTAGCGCTTCCTCCTGAATCTCCCTACACACAGTCCTGTCAGGTCGGAGGCAGGTGGCTGGTTCCCTCCAGGATGGGCCCGGCCACCTCCCCAGCAGCCACCTCTCCCCGTAGCTGGTGGTGCTGCCCTACCCGATGCTGCTGCACACGGCCACGAGGCAGGCTGCGGGCATCCGGCTGCAGGGCCAGGTGGTCATCATCGACGAAGCACACAATCTGATTGACGCCATCACAGGCATCCACAGCACGGAGGTCAGCGGGTCCCAGGTAGGTCAGCCTACATGGGGCTGTGGGCCATGGGCCTTCCCCAGGGACCTGGTCCTTGATTCCTCTGGACTCTTGATTCCAGTACTTGGCAGAGTTACAGGGAGGCTGACTAGCCAGCTGGGATGGTGGTTAGTGAGCAGCAGGAGTCCCTGGTCATTGGGTCTTGTTAGTCATTTTCTTTTCTTTTTTTTTTGAACCAGGGATTGAACTCAGGCCCTTGGGCATTTTTTTTTTTTTTTTAACATATTTAGTACAGAGTCTTAGTGCACAGCTTGGACGCAGTGGTCCTGCTGTTTTCAGCCTACCCACCGCTGGGATTACAGGCTTGTGCCACCACACCTGGACCCCATGGCTGGCTTAGCACACCTGGGGGTAGGGCTGGGGTGGCATGTGGTGCTGTGGCTGGAACCTTGGTCCTTGCGCTTGCCTAAGTAGGCACGCAGCCCACTAAGCTGTCTTACTGGCCTTAGTCTCATTACTTTTGATGCTGCTTGGCAGGGGTCTGATTGGAGCATATGCAAGGACCCTGCAAGTTTCCCTAAATAATCTGTGCCAGCTGCCTCTGCTCTCTACACAGACCCTCCCAGGGCGGGGGTCCTTGTCAACGCTGGGAGCCCAGAGCATCAGAGGCTGAGGCCTGTGCCCGAGGTTACACAGTGCAGAAACAGGAACCTGGGAGCTGACCAGGTTTCACAGCTGCTAACCGGGGCCAGGGTGACTTAGGCCAGGCGGAGGTGGGTACCATGAGTATCACTCCTGGGAAACCCACCCAGGCCTTTCCCAGCCCAGTAAGAGCTAGCGGGAGATTCCTGACCTGAGGGTATCAGCCTCTCGCTCTGCCTGGCCTGGAGGCGGTATACACTGTGCAGAACTTCTGTCCCCTGGGCTCCTTGAGCCCAAGGGCCACAAACTCATGCATCATGGGTTCCCAGTTCCCACGGCCGGTCACCGTGGCAGCTCCTGTGAGTCCCGGGCTGGCATTGCCTGGGCATAGTGTCAGTTCTCCCAGGCACAGCCCTCAACTGCTTGTCCAGAGCCTGGCCTGACCTCAGCCTGTTGTCCATGCTCTGCCCTCAGCTGTGCCAGGCCCACTCCCAGTTGCTGCAGTACATGGAGCGGTACAGGTGAGCCGCGGCCCCGTGTTAAGGAATGGTCCTGCTGGCCTCCAGAAGGCGCACTGGACTTACCGTCCCCAGCCTGGTCATGCAGGGCCTCCTTGCTGTCTGGGTCACGTGTCAGTGGTGGGTGCCCCCGCCATTCCTAGCCTGCTTGGGACAGGGCTGCTTGCTCCTGAGGGGTGGCTGTAGTTGGTGGCCCAGTCTGGGGGGCAGCAGGCAGGAAGGCCTCACTTGGCCAGCAGAAGGGCACTGGGGGAGCCCCCATTCGATGTCTGGGTTTCTCCTCAGAAAGCGTCTGAAGGCCAAGAACCTAATGTACATCAAGCAGATCCTGTATCTGCTGGAGAAGTTTGTGGCTGTGCTGGGAGGTAGGCAAGCACCCCGCCGCTGCCTTTTCCTGGGATGCCAGTGGGGACCCCGAGGCTTTCCGTGGGTACCAGCCATTTCTCGGTCCTTGACCTGCGCAGGGCCGCGTCCTTCTGCTTGGTGGGGCAGCTGGCCCTCACAGCTCCTTTGTGTGTCCACGTTCTCTGCCCTCGTCCTTGTGCTGGAGCCGAGCTCAGGACCTTGCACTTGCCAGCAGGCACTGGCTGCACCACTGAGCTGCATCCCGGCCCCTCCGTGCACCTTCTTCCACCATACTCTTCTCCACGTGTGACAAAGTGCTTAGCGTTCTGTGACCAAATTGTGGTCTTGCAGCATCTTCAGTGCTTTGCATGGCCACAGTTTCATTTGTCCCATGTAGGAGTAGCCCAGGTGTTTGAACCCTGGTTCATAGATGAGGGGCCGAGGGCAGAGGTGTGCTTCTTGTGTGTTCCTGCTGGAGATCCCTGGCATGGGGATCCTGGGGATCTGTGCCTGTGAAAGCGGGGAGCCTGTGGGGTTCTGCGGCAGGATCTGCCCCACACGGGGCACCCAGCCTCCTCTGCCCTGGCCTCTGCAGCCCACAGCCTAGGCAGCCCCGTCTGCTCCCTGCATTGCACACAGTGAGTGGGTGACCGCCTGCCTGCCCAGGCTGAGCTGTGAGGGCAGGGAAGCGGCTTCCATGTGCATCAGGCCCATGAGGCAGCCTGGTGCCTCCTGCCCTCTCAGTGGTTTCTTTGTGTGCTTTAAGTGACCAAAAGCACAGCAGCCCCTGGGGCATGTTGAGATTGTGGGTGCGTGGTCCTGAGGATCGTGGATAGGAGACAGCAGAGAGGCGTGGGCAGGCAGCTCCCACTATGACTGTTTATTTCTCAGGGAACATCAAGCAGAACCCCAATACACAGAGCCTCTCTCAGACAGGTGAGTAGGGTGTGCAACGGCCCAGAGGTCCTGGCCTGCTCAGTGACCAGAGCCTGTAGCCAAGCTGGGGGCCAGCACGCGATGCTCTTATCTCATCTGCTCTCAGGGACAGAGCTGAAGACCATCAACGACTTCCTCTTCCAGAGCCAGGTGGACAACATCAACCTGTTCAAGGTGGGGGCACCCCTTGTCTTTCCCTCCAGGTGTATTGTGTGTCCTTAGTGCCAGCCCTGGGCAGCCACTGCTTAAGACTGCTTAAGAAGGAAGGAAAAGCAAAGTCCCCGACATCTAGCAGTCAGGTCTGGGGACCCAAAGAACAGGCACAGGAAATTCCCGGACCTCCCAGTGGTGTGCATGGGAATGAGGCAGCCTCGGCTCTGGGGCCAGGCTCCGCTGGCTTGGTGGGAAGAGGAGCCTTCTCAGGGTTACATGGACACTGCTGTCTTCTACTCCCTCCTCCATCTCGCCCTGGAGGCTCGGGACCTGTCACAGCCTTGGACCCTGGAGCCATGTAACAGTGCCCTGAGTGCAGGCTGAGGGACATGCAGCCCTTTACTCGCTGCCCCGGGTGGCACCCTGCCCTGCCCCTTACTACTGCCTTCCTCCTGCAGACAGGCTTTCCCGACTTAGCCTTGTCGCTCACTGCTGCACAGTCACCTGTGCTCCTTTCTCCCCTGGAGTCCCACGTGACACAGTCCCCAGCTCCCGGCTGCCCCAGCCCCAGTCCCAGCTCGGCCCTCCCTCAGCTGTGACTTCACTTCCCAGCAGGCTGTGCTTCCTCCTGCCTTTGCCCTGCCTGCCAGCTCCTGTCTGTCCCCTTCTTTTAGTTGGGTTCACAAAGCACAGTTCAGTGGATCCTCACTGAGGGAAGGAACCTGCAGCTGGATTGACCCAGCTGTGCGCGGCTCCACACCAGTCACCCTGTGCTCTCCCAGCAGGAGTGAGCCCCAGGCCTCGCCTGCTGTTTACCTTTACTCCTAGGGTGTCTTTTTGTTTTTACTTTTAAATCCAACTCTGAGTTCCTCAATGTCCAGCTCAGCTGCTGTCACTGGAAAGGAGAGCAGAGGGCCAGCCTCTGTTGTCAGGGGGATCAGAGCCCCAGGACAGTGTGTGAGGAGGCCACGATGTAGGGCTGTGCTGAGCCACTTGGTGATGCCGAGCTGGGGTGGCAGCAGAGGAGGAGAGGAGATGGGCCGGATGGGTGGGGGGCCAGCCCCAGGGCGTGCAGGCTGCAGCTGACACCTTGCGGCGGTCTCACTTTTGCAGATACAGCGATACTTTGAGAAGAGTAAGGTCAGCAGGAAGGTACGGTCGCTTCCCCAGTCTTCATGGCCTCATCCTCCTCCTGGGGGACCCCAGCTCGTCTCTGTCCCTGATCCTCAGGCTGAGGAGGGCACGGGCTGCAGGTGTCTGGAGTCTCCATGTCTTGCTGTCCCCTCTGTCCTCCCCACCAGCTCTGTGGCTTCACAGAACGCTACGGCGCCGTCCTCCCACCACCCCGGGAGCAGTCGAGGCTCTCTGGGCTCCAGCACTTCCTGCAGAGCCTGCAGCCTGGGGTGACCGAGGGTGAGGCAGAGGGCAGGAGGATGAGCTGGGCTGCTGGATGGGCAGTGCTGGGCCCAGCCTCACACAGGGCCCATCTGCTGTCTTCCTCCTGCCTGTGCAGCACCCGCTGCCCCCCTGGAGGAGGCCGAGGTCGGGGCAGTGCGGGCCGCCTCCCCACTGATGCACATTGAAGGCTTCCTCGCAGCCCTCACCACCGCCAGCCAGGACGGCAGGGTCATCCTGAGCCGCCAAGGTACCGAGCCCCCCCAGGGACTCCAGCACACGCACCTGTGCAGGCTTAGCAGGAAGGAGCTAGGCAGTGGGGTGACTCATGGCTGCTCCCAGTGGCCAGGGTGGGCAGGGGCCCTAAGGGGGAGAAGCCACTTTCTGGCTGTGTGACCTGGACCCATATCTCTTTGCTCTGACTCTGCTGGTGTATGTGTGTGTGCATGTGTGCATGGGTGTGAGTGTGTGTGTGCAAGTAAGGGACACGGCAGCACTGTCAACCATGGCACTCTTCACAGAGGAAAGCGGACCGGGCTCCCTGTGCTGGCCAGTACGTGTCCTTCGGGGCACCCAGGCTCACCCCTGTGCCGGGACTCACCCCTGTGCCAGGCTCACCCCTGCCTGTCTCTGCTCCCTTCAGGCAGCCTCAGCCAGAGCAGCCTCAAATTCTTGCTGCTGAACCCAGCTGTGCACTTCGCCCAGGTGGTGAAGGAATGCCGGGCAGTGGTCATTGCAGGTGGCACCATGCAGCCGGTAAGTACCCCAGCCCGGCCTCGTGAGCCCCACGTGCCAGGGTGGCTCCAGAGGGACGCAGCGTCAGTTAGGTGTCCTCCCTGTCTGCTCCCCTGTACACTAGGTGGGAATATAGAAAGTGTCACAGCCGTTCTGTGTCCCAGACCCTGGGTGCCTCTGCCATGCCCCTTCCTGCTCCGCCAGGGAGGTGTCAGCCTTCAGAGTTTGTCGTCACAGAGATGATTTAAGTTTCGTGGTAGACGGCAGGGAGAAGCACAGTGGGGGAGAGCGGCTCAGGGTTTCATGCAGAGGTGAACGATGTCGCCCGTCACTGCAGTGGCCTTTCTGTGGTTAAGCTTTCCAGCTGTGCATGTGTCTTGAAAGTGAGAATGGAATTACCCATGCACACGAGTGCAGTTGGCCTGTCCACGCAGGAGCAGAGTAGCACAGGTGTCTTTCCTCCTCAGCAGGGATAAGCCCCCCATCCTCGTTACTTGTCTCTCCTTGCTGACAGAGGGGAAGGCTTTGTTTCACTCACAGTTGGCAGAGGTTTCAGCGTGTAATCGACGGGCTCCAAGGCAGGGTGGCTCGGCAGAGGGGCAGCACAGAAGAGAACCAGTTCATGGCAAGCAGAGGTAGCAGAAGCAAGCAGGGCAGGGAGAAGAGCGGCCTCCTTCCATCCCTTGTGTTGTGCCGGGTGCTGGGATTGGGGGGGCACTGCGCCAATCAGCAAACGATTTAGTCGTCAGCCGGCCTCCTCCAGGCATTGCATCCGTCATCTGCTCTGGATTGAGCACCTCTGAGGAGGCCCCTGGGACTGCATGGGCTTGGGGGACGTGCAGACCCAAGCCGAGCATCCCGTGCTTCCCCGCTGTTCACCTGTCCTAGGCCCTGTCCTCCTGTGCGCTGTGGGGCTGCCCAGGTCCTTCTCTGAGCAGCCCCACGGGGAACAGAGCCGAGTCTGCCCAGAGCTCCTTCCCCGGCTGCACAGCCTGGCAGATGCATCTTGCCAAGTGCCTGGCTCCTGAGAGCCGCCCCCAGCCTCTGTGCCTGGGAAGGTCACCACTGTCACACTCCTTATTCTTATTGCCGAGATTTCTAGACTTTTATTCACCCTGCGCCTCAAAGTTGTCTATAGTCATTGTTTTGCTGGTCAGATTTTCTCAAAGTTGGCACGAGGTGCCCATGCCAACCCAGGTCCTGTGGACCAGGCCAGATGCCTCCTCATTTTCGTGCACAAGGGAGCAGTGTTTCAGCAAAAGGCAGTGTGGGGACCTTGGTGCCAGGGTGACTGCTGCTCCCCGCCATCACTGCGCAGCCAGGCTGCAGGACACCTGGAGAGGCATTTTGCAAAGCCTAAATGGGTATTGATGTTTCTGAACAGAATCAAAGAACTGACTGATTTGACTTCATAGTTACAGCTCTCAGGGCAGGCAGAGCATGGTGGAGTGTGTAAATGTGTGTTCAGTGCTACAGAACGGTGTCTGTGGTATGTGGTTTCTGAGTGAACATGCGGTTTCTTATTAGGTTGACATAGCTGTTTGGTGGATCTCTCCGTGTACTTCCCATATGCTTCAGCAGCGCATCCCTACTCCTAGCAGGAACCTTGCTGTGGAGGGTTCAGTGCTTTGCTTCGCGTTCCGCCCTGGCAGGGGTCAGGGTCAGCTGAAATCAGGCTGCTCTCTGTGTGCTGCACTGGTGTGACAGCTCACTGGCAACTGCTTGGTTCCTTTTGGTTAGTTTGCCTTTTTCCCTTTTGACCTGATTATGTCTTTAAAGCATGACCCCCCCGCCCCCCATGCAGTTCAGACCTACAGCTCTCCCACAGTCTCAGGGACTCTCCCCTGCTCCCCCGCCAACTTGCTCCTACCGCTGGGGTATCTTGTTCAGTGGCTGGTGCTGCAGCTTTCTGGTGACCCCATAAGGTGGCACCGCAGGGTGTTTGGTTTCAGAGGTTGATTGACTGGTTTGCCCTAAAAGGAGCATGTGCCCTCTCTCGGATCACCAGGAAAGGCGGCGCCATGCCTGCTTGCCTGCCTGCGCGCTGGCAGTCGCTCTCTGGTAGGTGGCGCGCTGCGGTCTGCAGGCCTAGCGGCCGCAGGCACATTAGAGGACCAGAGAGGCGGCGGCTGGGCGCCTTTAGCAGGGGCCTCCCTCCCCCGTGGTCTCACTGTGCACACAGCTTCCCAGGGCAAACCTCTGCAGGGTTAAGTTTACCCTCCGAACTGTGTTTTCAGAGCAGCCTCCTCCATATGGAATTGCTGCCTTTACAGAAGCGCAAGTACCTCTAACCTGTGAACGCTGTGCAGTGCCCCTCCCTGCGGTGGTGACTGTTGTGTAGCCCACACAGTGCCTAAGGAGGCCGTCGCTCCATAGGGGTCTTTGCCGCTTTACTGGGTGATTCTTCTTCCAAGTAGTGACTTCAACCCCCAGCCAGGGCCGAGAGCCCTGTGTCCACTCAGCGGTGTCTCTGTGTTCTCAAAGCCCTCTGAGGAGGCTGCCAGCCAGGCGTCCGAGCTGCTGGTTGCTTGCTCCTTCAGTAGCAGCCACGCCCGGTTCTTCAGTGCCGTGTCCTGGCTGCCCCCAGCCTGCGCTGCTCGCTCCGCCCCCTGCTGAGCCTCCATGCCCCATGCCAGGGCCTGCCATCCCGTCCCTAATCCCCTTCCCCAGTTCCCTGGACGTCACGCACCTCCAAACTATGGCTGCAGGTGTCAGCCTTCCGGGAGCAGCTGCTGGCACACGCAGGGGCAGAGGTGGAGCGAGTGGTGGAGTTCTCCTGTGGTAAGCCCCTGCATTCTGGGCGGGGGAGCCCGAGCCCGCACTGTGACCTCTGCTCGCTCGGTTTTGCCACTTGCTAGGCCCTGGGTGGGGACACCACAGGTGGCTTGTCACCAGCTTTCTTCCCACTCTCACGATCTGACCTGCCGGCTGCATCACCCACCTAGACTGCACCCAAGGGGCCCCTATCTGGGAGGTCGGCAGGGAGCATCTTCCCTGGTCCCTGCCTTGGGAAAGTTTCCATCTGCTCTGGGGTCTCACAGGTCACGTGATCCCGCCGGAGAACATCCTGCCCCTCGTCCTTTGCAGCGGGCCCACCAGCCAGCGGCTGGAATTCACCTACGAGAGGAGAGAGCTGTCTGCAATGGTGGGTGCCAGCCGGTAGGCTCCACAGCCCTCCAGGGCTCGGCGCAGCACTCGAGGGTGTGATGGACAGTCCTGGCACTGGGGAAGTGGGTCCGGGGTGCCCGTTCCAGCCAGCGCCTCATGAGTGCCTCTCCATAAGGTTTCTCAGGGAGGGCATGGGCTGCTCCCACCCCAGAGCCACTCAACAAATTTCCTTCAGCCCTCCTGCTGTCCCTTTAGCACCAAGTGAGTGTGTCTTCTCTGGGGTGCTGGCATAGGTCCTGTGTCGAGAAGGCAGGCAGTCACCATGAGGGCAGGGTGTGTGTGTGCCAGGCAGCTGGCACATCAGCCTTCCCCGAGCACTCACAGAACCAGGTGGCCATTGCCCTCCCAGGCCTGGCCATGCCCTCAGCCGGCCCAGCCCTCGGCTGGCAGCCCAGGCTGTGGTGTCCCGGGGCCACTCCACAGGGTCCGTCTGCCTCCTAGGTGGACGAGACGGGGCGCATTCTCTGTAACCTGTGCAACGTGGTCCCTGGAGGGCTGGTCTGCTTCTTCCCTTCCTACGAGTACCAGCGCCAGGTCCTTGCTCACTGGGACAAGAGTGGCCTGCTGGCCCGCCTGGCTGTCAGGAAGAAGGTAAGTGGCCCTTGGCCTGGCTCCCCTCCTCTGAGGCTGGCAGTGCCCCTGGAAATCTGGCCAGAATCCTCACGTTCCCTAAACCTGGAGGGTTCTGCCTCACACCACTTGTATCTCCGATCTTTGGGTCCCAGCCAGAGGGATCCCCAAAGCTGGACAACCTGAGGGTGGCTGTGACTAGGGTGCAGATCAAGCCCTTGAGCCAATGGAGACCCCATGTTCCTTGGCCCTTTCCTTGGAGACTCTGTCCCTCCAGATCTTCCAGGAACCCAAGAAAGCTAGCCAGGTGGAGCAGGTGCTGGCAGCATATTCCAGGTGCATTAAGGTGAGGGACAGAGGCTGGGCGAGGGTCACATGGGCCGGCATCTTCCCAGCCCTGCCACAGCGATCTGGCTGGGGTCTCTCTGCAGAGCTGTATCCAGGTGGGAGGCCCGGTTACCGGGGCCCTGCTCCTCTCTGTGGTGGGAGGCAAGATGAGTGAAGGCATCAACTTCTCCGATGACCTGGGCAGGTAGGTGTGCACCTCTTCCCTGCTTGGCCAAGACCCTGCACCCTGCCTCAGTCTCCTGCCACCAGGTCTGCACCCAGGCCAGATGTTCAGGGTACTTAGGGGTCAGTGAGGGTCCAGGTGACTGGTGCAGGCACACTGAAGCCTTAGAGATGGGGCCAGGGCCAGATAGGAGAGCACCGGGCTGTCTGAGCTGCCACCTGCCTCGCCTGCCCTCCAGGTGCGTGGTGATGGTGGGCATGCCCTACCCCAACATCAGGTCCCCTGAGCTACAGGAGCAGATGGCCTACTTGGACCAGCGCCTTGTGAGTCCTGCGGGGGCCCAGGGGGTTGGGGGCTAGAGATGGAGAGCGGGCACCACTAGGGCTGGGAGTGTGAGGCTCTGCGCCATGGCCCTGTGCGCACGCTGCCTGTCCACCTAGATGTGGGAGTGCACCCTGCCCTCTGGCTTCTCCACAAGGTCACCTGTCACACCTTCTGCTGACCTGGGCCAGGGACCTGAGTCTTCCCCTAGGGATGGGGCACACCAGACAGGAGGGGACATACACATCCGCTCACCCGTCTCCCTTCCCATCACAGCCTAGGAGCCCAGGGCAGGTCCCCCCGGGGAAGGCACTGGTGGAGAATCTGTGCATGAGGGCTGTGAACCAGTCCATAGGTGAGCAGGGGCTGTCCCGGCCCTCAGCTGGATGGCAGGGAGGGCGTGACACGGAGGGAGACCTGAGCTGCTGGCTCTCCCACCTGATGGCTGGGGGTGGGGGGCAGGGAACACAGGCTGTGTGCCATGGGGAACTGAAGGCAGGTTTCACTCGGAGCCCTGCCTCTGTGCCACCAGGCAGGGCCATCCGGCACCAGAGGGACTTTGCCAGCATTGTGCTCCTGGACCAGCGGTACACCCGGCCCTCTGTCCTAGCAAAGCTGCCAGCCTGGATCCGGGACCGCGTGGAAGTCAAAGCCACCTTTGGTGCTGCGTTCGCCGCGCTGCGGAAGGTCAGGACGGCCCTTTCCTTCCCCGGGGCCTCCAGCCTGAGGTGCAGTTCCTCACAGCTTCTTTCTGTGCTCAGTTTCACAGGGAGAAGGTGGGGTCCTCCTGATGGCAGCCATGTCACCACCTTCCCTAGTCCCTCCTGTGCCTGCACACAGACTTTGGGGCTCACACCAGCTCCCCAGAGGGCGCTCCACAGCAAAGCCAGCAGGGGTGGATTCCACACGACCCTCAGGCACGGCAGGTCCTGCCATGCCCAGCCCAGCCCCCTGCCTGCCATGGAGAGCGGAAGGCTCCATCCCCTGCGGCACCCACCTTCCGAGCTGAGGCTCACCCTGCCTCTGCTCTTCCTGGCCAAGATGCGCAGAGACCGTGTCTGCCCCTGTGACCCTCCGTGGAGAGGTGGCCATCCCTCCTTCCAGCCACGCCTGCTCCCAGCACCCTCTTCTGGGCCCAATCCAGAGGAAGGGGCCTTGGTCCCCTGTGACTTTTACACCACTGCTGGACCCCGCAGGGAGGACAGGCCGGGCTCCAGAGGTGTCTGCGTCCCACCCGGCCAGACCTCCTCCTGCACCATAGCCTGCTGGACCCCCTCGCAATTCCTGGTGCTTTTCCTCGCCACGCCTCCTCAGAGAGGTTGGTGCTGTGGTTTGGGGGACGGTGGAGTAGGGAGCCCCTAAAGCTGGAGAGGGACCACACATGCCGTAGGAGGAGGTGCTTAGGGGAGCCACACAGCTGCTAGGCAGAGTTCAAATTGACATCATCCTCCTGACTAGAAATAAACGTGCTAAGGCAGTCGAGCAGCTCCTCTCTGTGGGAGAGGGCTTCTGTCTCATCTTTATTTTGCCATCCTCTCGCCAGACACCCCCCCCCTTAACTTGGAGAGCTCTGCTGGGCGGCAGGCCCTACACAGGCCCCCGCTCCCAGGGCACGGCTAGGACGCCCAGTCCTCCTCGTCTTCCTCGCCTGCTGGCTGCTGTGGGGGTGGCAGTGGTGGGATGGCGTCCGACACGCGAGCGAAGGCGCCACCTGGGCCCTCGTTAGCCCCCGTCCCGGGTCCTTTCCCGGAGATACCTGGGAAGGAGCAGGCCGTGCGGGAGAGAGGGAGGGAGGAAGCCAGCCCAGGAAGGGCTCAGGTTTCCTCACTCTCCGAAGCGGGCACTCGCAGAGCAGCCCGTCGCCTACCTTTGCGCCTCAGGACCAGCTTGTTGAAGAGGTCGGCCATCAGGTCCCCTCCCTGGCCCACAGCTCCCACTGCAGGGGAAAGTGGGGTGAGGATGCGGGCGATGGAGGAAGAGGAGGAGGCATCCAGCAGGGCCCTAGGCGGTTGTGTGATGCCAGGGGTGGGACTAGGGACCCCAGAAGGCGTGGCCCAGGAAGCAGAAAGAATTAGGCCCGAACTCAGCGCCCACCCCCATCCTCTGAGAGTGCCCCTCGAAAGTCCTGGGGAGGGTCCTCTCAGGCAGGGTTTGAGTCCTGGAGCTGAGGGCAGACCCCCAACAAGCTCCAGGGGCCGGCTGGGCCCCCAGCCACTGCCCTGCGGCCCCTGGCTCCAAGGGCCCTCTGCTGGAGTCCTGGGGCCCAGCGGAGGCGTCACCTTGCTCCTGCTCCTTCTGCTTCTTCTTCTCCAACTTGCGCTCCTTGACGCTGCGCAGCTTGGCCTTGCCGATGCCCCCGGCTTGGCGGATGGACTCCAGCAGGGTGGCCCGGCCGCTGGAGGGGTCCACCACCTCCTTGGGAGCTCCCTGGACTGGTGCTGGGGACGGAAGGTGTGAGGAGCAAAGCTGGGGCCTCCGGGCTGTGCGAGTCCCTCCCACCTCCCACCAAAAGGCGCTACCCTATGACAAGATCCTGGGAATCACTCATGTGCCAAGAGTCCCAGTGGGACACGCAGGCCCCCAAGGGTTTCTGTGCCCCTTCTGGAGACTGCACATGGGCCGGGAGATGCAGTACTCAAACCAAAGTTCGGATGTTTCCATTTCCCAGCAGACCTCTTTCTAGGCATCAGACTGCAGCCCACCATGGCAGGTGACCCTCTCCCCTGAGGCCAGAATTCCAGAGCTCTGAGGTCTGGAAACCCGTACAGCGGGTTTAGGACCCAGCACAGCGCTGGAACATCTGGGCGGAAACTGTTCTGCAGACCTGGGATCTGGGGGGACTCATCCAGATACCCCTGCAGCTTGGAGCAGAGCCCCCTGCCGGCCCTACCTGAAGCCTGGGCGCCGTGGCTGCTGTCCTCCAGGGGGCCAGGGCCAGTGGTGGGGGCTGCGGTCTGAGGTGGCAGGCCTGGGGGTGCGCTGGCCAGTACTGCAGGAGCTGGGGGCGGGGGCGGAGGCGGGGGCGGCGGGGGTGGGGGTGCTGGGAGCACCACGCCCTCTGGATCTGGAACACAGGTGGGAGGCTCAGTGCCCCTGGGGCTCCCCACCCAACCCTTTCCCCAGGGCCCAGCTCACCTGGCTTGAAAGGCTCGGCCACTTCTGTCTGGAAGGTAGGCAGCTCAGGGATGGCGCCAGGGGCAGATGGGGCGATGCCCGGGCCCAGGTCGGCACTGTACATGAGGTCGTCAGCGATACCCGGCAGGTCAGGCAGGTAGGACGGCACGTCTATCTCGGGGACCTGGCCCAGGTCCGGCACGTAGAAGTAGTTCTCGGGAACCTGCAGGGACAAGAGTGGTTACTGCCCTGCGGGTCGCCGTCTTCAGGGCCCCCCACCCCCGGGGCCGTGGGCATCAGCGCCTCCCCACCTGCTGCGCCAGTTGCTCTCTCTTGGAGATGGACAGAGGGGCATCGAACAGCTTCTCCTGCTTCTCGGTCCCGAGCATCACGTGGGTTTTTGTGACAGCCCCTGCCAGGGGATCCAGGAAGACATACTTCTTGTACCTACAGGGGGTGGGCTTCGGTCGGGTTCCAGGTCGAGATCACTGCTCCTGCTGTCAGGGTGCAGCCTGCTTGCTGGCACCCAGGCCTTCCAGGACCCCACACCACCTTGCACCAGGCCTGCTGCCCGGATCCCCGCCCCCCCACCCCACTGGAGCCCTTCTGGCCCTACAGGTTCTCCGTGGTGTTGAACAGCAGCAGGGAGCTGACTGAGCTGATGTTGCTGGGGAGACCCCCGAGTCCCTCCTCAGCCTCATCTTCGGGCTCCGGCCTGGCGCTCACACACACCGGGAAGTACTTCAGCTTCTCCTGGAGGGGGAGGAGAAACAGGCGAGCAGATGGGTTTGGCGCTTGGCTCCACCCCCCACACTGTCCTGGGGGAGGCAGCAGTCTGCAGGCGGGTGGACCCCAGCGCCCTGCACCCCGACCTCCGTGGTGACCTGCAGGGCCCGCTCATCCAGGGCACGGTGCTTGCTCTGGATGCGGCGGCGCGGTGGGCACAGGGGGCCTGGGTCCTGTGCTCCGGAGAAGATGGAGCTGTGCTCGCGCAGGCGTTCAGGGGCCGGGTACTTGGCGCTGGAGAACACCTGTGTGCACAGCGGCGCCCAGCCTGAGCGGCTGCAGAGCGCTGTTGCTCTGGCTGGGGTGGGACGCAGGCAGGGGGTCCTGGCGAGGTGGAAGCAAGCGCTACCTTGATAGCCTTCTTGCTGCCCTTGATCCTCTGGATCTTGGCCTGGCTGGCAGAAATCCGCTCCCCAAGGACCTGCAGCTGGCCGAGGCTCAGCTCCACCCGCTGGGAGATCCTGCCACAAGAAGACCCCAGGATGGGCCCACCTGCCTGCAGTCTCAGCCTGCTGCATCTCAGGGGTGCCGCAGCCACCCTTCTGCTGGCCTGGGCCACTGGTTACCATCCTGCCCAGGTGACCCTTATGACAGTCCTCCAGGTCGGGTCCTGACCTGGCAGAGATGAATTTCTTGGAGACCGAGTTGGCATCTGCTGTGGTGCCTGAGGGGCAGGGTTCTGCCCTCAGAGTCAAGGGCACAAGCAGGGACAGGACAGGCCCATTTCAGTCGCCTGCAGCTTGCAGGTAGCTGTCCAGGCTGCAGAGCCACATGCTCTGCGCACACACCCAGGCTCTTTGCCACGGAGGAAACAGTTCAGCTGGGCTGGACCACTACTAGCACCTGACCAAGCCCCAGCGCTGCTAAAGGACAGACCCTGCACTCAGCAGGGTGGCTCTACTCCTCTTTGCACCTTCCACTCTCCAGTAGGTGGGTGTCCCCTGACAGGCCAAACATAGGTGGCAGCCGCCACCGTGGCCTCACCGAAGCTGCTTGAGTTGTCATCTGCTGGCTGCAGGGGGAAGTGCAGGAATAGCCCTTCCCTGTGAAAGAGCAGAGCCAGGACTAGGGTCCCTGGGGTACAGGGCACAATTGGCGGTGACCTATTGGGCACCTGCGAAGAAAGGTTCCAGACACAGAGCTCCTTCCACACAGGGGATCCAGCTGGCCCCCAGGTCCAGGAGTCATTCAAGGGGTTGCTGCTCCTGTTGTACCTTCCTGGGCTCGGAGAGGACCCCCAGGACAGGGTGACCCTCCATCCACTGGGGAGAGCAGCACCCACCTGTTGAAGATGTCTCTGGAGACCTCCTGCAGGTACTGCAGGGCATCGGCCACCTGCTGGATGGCTTCCTCCCGCCGGAGGTCTGGCTGGATGAGAGGGACGGCGTAGGTCTGGCCAGCCAAGGAGTGCTGCATCCTCACCGTGGTCATGGTGCCTGTGGGTAGAGCCTGGAGCGTCAGGACCATGGACCCAGAGTGTTTGTGTGGCCGTGGGCAGTGGCCAGGGGCCCTAGATACAGTGGAAGAGTCCAGCCAGCAGGAAGAGGGCCTTGGGAGGGAGGGTGTGGGGTGAGTACCGGAAGGCAACACAGGAAGAACCACAAGGCAGGTGCGTGTTGCCGCCCGAACCGCTGATTCTTCCATCCCTGACCCACAGGTCGAAAGTTGTGGGTGCTTGCTAAGACACCTTTCATATACACAGCGCGCTGTGCCAGCATCCTCCCCAGGCCGAGTCACTCCCTGCGCCCCCTGAGCACCCCCTCTGCCCCTCAGTAGACAGCACTTCCCAGACCTGAAGTGCTGATCTGCTCTCCTTTCCAGCATCCAGCTTTTCCTCCACACTCACACGACCAGGAAACACCAGTTCCAGATGCCCAGACCTGAGCCCACCTGGGTGCTACAGGGCCCAGAGCTACTCCCACGCCCACTTCCTGCCAAGCAACTAAGGCCCGGCCACCCAGCACCTCCATGGCCTTTCCAGAGCCCCTGCCCTGCACTAATTCTGATGCCAGTCTGCTGCCCCGACTTAGTTCATCCCTTGGCTTCTCCCACCAGGACAGGAGAAAGGGGAGAAGGTGTTTTCTGTGCTTGTCTTGGGATGATCCCCTCCTCTGTTAACGTCGAGGGGTGCAAGGGAGGAGTCCAGGCTCAGATCGCCCAACGAGGAAGCAGCGAGGACCTGCCGGGGTGGGCGCAGCAGCTTTGAGGCTTCTTCCTCCGTCTGCAAACACCTACTGCTAAGCTGTTAAGCGGAGACCACACCACAGCCAAGCCGGGAAAGACACTGAGGCCTCAGCGAGCTAAGCCCTTCGGACAAGCACTCTCTCCAGTCTCCTGCAAAGTGCAGAGAAAGCCCTTCCGGTTCCGGGCTGGAGAAGCCCCTCAGCAGACGCTGCAGCCCTCTGCCAGTGCGCGAACAGGACAGGAATGAGGCAGCCGCGACAGCATGGCTGCGGCCCCTTCTGGTGGACCCCAGCTCGCGCAGCCAGGCAACACCCAAGGGCAGCTTGTGGGAACTGAAGGAACCCTGAGTACAAAGAGCACCCCCAAATTCAAAGACTTAGAGAAAAATATGGGAAATAGGTTTATATTGATTCCATGCTGCAGTGACCACGCTTAGACCTGGTGGGTTAAATAAAATATCGTACTAATTTCTTCTGTTCTACTTTTAATAGCGTGCAAGCGGCAGGCATAACTTTTCTCTCTCTTTCCCTGTGTCCTTTGGCTGCACAGAAATGACCTGCTCCTCTCCTACGCTGGATTCTGAGCTAAGGACAAACGAATCACGATGGGTTCACATTCCATCCCGTCGGATATCTGGCAGCCCTTAAGTAATTACTGTGAAGCGGACCGTAGCCTCGCAGTAGAGTGTTTTCACAGGCTGCAACACCTCCACCAGCGTTAACAGCCCTCCTCCTACTAAGAATCGCCGCTGCAGTTACCTTGTAATTCCCCACACCTGACAGCCCTTCCCCTCCTTCTCAAGAATTACTTTCCTCTCTGTACCAGGGAACTTATGGAGGGGGACCAAGTAGCATGGTTCTAAGCATCAAAATGCTAGCTTGGGATCCAGGCAGGCGTGTGGATACAGAACTTCAGTGACTTGGCAGTTTTACTGGGCTCTTTTCATGCCTTATCTTCAGGAGTCCAAGTGTCAGTCCCAGGTGTGAGGCACCTGCCTGGAGCCCAGGGTAGGGACGCGGGAGCGGGCCCTGGGGCTCGTCTCGGGGAGAAGCGGCCCTGCCCCAGGCCGGTCTGGGCTTCTGAACCCGGCTGGCTTGTCTCTCCCTCACCGCACTGACAGCCGTCCTCGGAGGCCCAAGGTATCCTTTGAAATCGACCCACAACCCCTTTGGAGGGCACAGTCAGGACCCCAGGAAGCCACGTATGTAGCTGAAATAAAAGCTGAGCCTTTCATTCCCAGCAGTCCATCGGGAGTTTTATTCTGGAAATCTTGGCTCCTCCCTGGCCGGATCCGGACCGGCTGCCCGCAATCACTCTAGGCCTTCCGCATACACCTCCCGCAGGCTGGGTTTCACTTTTTAATGCATTCCATAAACACATTATTTTTCCTTTTTCCGATCTCACTGAGCTCCAAGCTCAGCCCTTTTTTCAGTGAGGCAGGACCTCACTAAAGTCGCTAAGTGGCCCAAAGTGGGCTGCAACTTGCGACCCTCCTGCCTCGGCCTCCCGGAGTGGCGGGATAACAGGCTTGTGCCCCCTGCCCGGCTTTCTGATCCTCATTAAATCGGAAACAAGATCGCCCGGGGACTGCCTGGGCCGCTGCGTGGAATTGGAGTGCAGTAGACCTGAAGGCGGCAGGGGTGGGGGGCCACACGCTGCCGCGGTCGCAGCCTGCTCGCCGTCAGTCCCGCCCCGTCCATACCTCAGCCCAGATCCTGCACCCCAGCCGGCGCCGCGCGCTCCTACCTGGCGCCGCAGCCCCACGCCCCGGAAGCCCGCCGCCTGCTCGCCTTCCTTCCGCCGCGCCGTGGGGTCCTAGCGCCGCCGCCGCGGCAGCCGCGCAGACCGCTGGCCCCGCCCCCCCCGGCCTGGCTCCGCCTAAGCGGGCAGTCCCACGCAGCTATCTGGAGTTCAGGACTTCGTTCCCAGCACCCTAGCTCGGGGCTTAGCACGGGCAAGAGCCTGGGTTTGATTCCCCGGCACCAAGTCAGTAAATGAGCAACGTGGAAGCAGGCACCGAAGCGCGGAGGCGTCTGGCCACGCGGCAGGGCGCGCTCAGTGCAGCCGGCGGCAGGGCCGCTGCAGGGCCTGCGCCGCCCTCCGTCCAGCTCCAGAGCCAGGAAAACTGCAGGAAACTGGGAGTCCGGGGCTTCCCCAGAAACTGCTCAGCAGAGTCCCCGGAGCTCCTCCCTAAGCAGAGCCGGGCTTCCCGGGACTCCTGCAGCAGGCCGGCCGGACAACCAGCTTTCCCAGCTGAGCGCCTTCCAAGGAGCCGGCTCTGGCTCGGCCGGTCAGCAGCAGGCCGAGGCCGGGCGCTGTTTTCTTATTTTTTCCCCTGCTTCTGTCTCAGATTTCATCTTCCATTTTGGGAGTCAGAGAACTCCTGGTTAGACCAGAGTAACTGTGCAGGCTCCTGGAATTCCCGGCAGGGTTCCTGGAGACGGGGATCGAGAGCAGCGCGGAGAGGAAAGGCCCTGGCAGGGACGCGGGCAGGGGCTGCGGGCTGCCCCCGCGTCGCAGGGCCACAGCGTCTGCCCAGATAGCCGCCAGCATCGGGAGTCGGCCTGGCAGGGCTCCCCGCTCTGTAGAAGGTGCCTGCACCCTCGCGTGTATCTTCCCTCCTTAGGGGGTCTCCCCGATGGTGTGCGTTGGGACAGAAGGCGTTGTCGTGCTCCCGAGGGGGGCCGCAGCCCCTCGGACTCATCGGGCCCCGCCTCAGCCTCTGGACACGCCGGCGCCACGGGCCTCCGTGACCACACGTGGCGTGTATTTTCTTGTCCTAATTTCCAGGACGTGTTTGATGTCACTGTCGAGGCGTCCAGGGCTCAAACTTGATGCTGAGCCCGCGGACGAGTGTGCTCAGCTCGCAAGAGGTCCGCGGGGCTCTTGGTTGCCGAGTCGGGTGACTCCTGTTCAGGGAAAGTGAGCCCCGGTGTTCCTGGAGTGAGCCAAGAAGGGTTCTGCCTGACCAGGGAGTGACAGCAGAGGGACCTCCCAGGGAGCTTTCCGTGGGAGAAGAGGGGTTTGGGCGATTCTGAATGCCCGCGGCTGTTAGAAGTTGACAATCAAAAGGGAGGGCACGGCCTGGGGCATTCTAGCGTGATGAAAGCAGCCAGGGCCATCAGCCATCATCTGGGGAAGGCAGAGGACTGGACACGAGGTAGATATCTATCAAATGCGGTGCAATAGCAGGGTGCGTCCAGCGTGCTAGAGGGAGCTCATGCCAGCTCCTAGGAGGACAGGAGAAGCTGCCTGCACCCCCGTCCTCTCCAGTCCACTTCTGGGGGCTCAGGGGACCTGACCTCAGGGGCAGTTATCCTGTTGCAGGCCCCATGCAGTGCAAGACCTGCCTCTGACTAAAAACAACGATAAAATTCCAGAAACTTTGATGTCCAGGCTGATTTATTGACTAGGAATAAGATTCAGGAGCTCATGAGAGTATTTTAATTTCTAATCAGATCAGAAAGAAAACTAGGGCCAGCCAAGTAGCTCAGCGGATTAAAGCACCCGCAAGCAGGCTCAGGGGCCATGTGCCGGCCCCAGCCTGGGGTTCACTGAGACAGCAATTGAGACTGGGTGAGGTGGCACTCACCTGTAATCCCAGCTCTTGGGAAGCTGTAAACAAGTGAATTACTATGAGTCCAATCTAGTAATGAGACCCTGTACACCCTGTAGACCCTTCTCTAAAATACAAAAAAAATATATATATATATTTTTAGAAAAGAAAAATGTTTATAGGATATTGATAATTTTCTAGCTCAATTATATTGCAAAATTTTGTTTGATTATTTTGTAGGGGATAGTGGCCCATGTACGCACAAATGAAATGGTCATACCAATTGGAACACAATTTTGAAAATATTGTGGACCTTTTGCCCCACTTCAAATGTGTGATCCTGCTCTTCCCTGGTGCACTAGTGGTTAGGATTCGGCACTCTCAAATGTGTAATTACTATCATTACTCCACCTCTAGCATGTACGACATTATTATGGACAGTCAAGTTAGGTTAAAAATAGTATGGACTGGTGTTGGCGAGATAGCTCAGCAGACTAAAGCGCCTGCTTAGGCCAACGCAGGGACCACGGTTGGACCCCTGGCACCGCATGCCGTGCCAGCCCCGTCCACAGGGCAAGATGAGCCATCTAGAGTCCTGGCATTGTGGCCCACATCTGTAATCCACGTGCTGAGGAGGCTGAAGGCAGGAGGATCACCACAAGTCCGAGCTGTGTAGTGAGACCCTGTAACAACCAAATACATTTAAAAATAAATACAGACATATATACATACATACTATGGACAGTCAGACAGGCCTGGTCCCTCGCAGCAATTAGCAGGAAAGGCAAAAACACATCACAATGGTGGACAGAGGCAGATCCGCTGGAGGCCAGACCTCAAGATAGAGACAAAATGACCAGGCCCACACACCTCCCCAAGAGATAAACATTACATTAATATTAACATCCAGGGGCCAGGGGGATGGCTCAGTGGAATAAGCACTTCCCTAGCAAATACAAGGGCCTGAGCTCAATCCCCGGTTCCACCAAAATATTATATATATATATATATATATATATATATATCCATCCATAGCCCCAGCAGGGGCTTGGGATCCCCTTATTCTTCTCTCCCTGAAAACTGTTCTTTCAAGGTACCGTTTCCCTGTGCCCCGCTTTCCCATTAGACCAGTATTACCGAAGCAGCTTTCATTTTGGGGAACACAAACTTGGTGATACACACCCCACTGTTTCTCTCTTTTCTATTCTGCACAATCAGTGCATCTACATTTATGTTCTGTAAGACCAGCATCAATTTATTCCCACAAATGTTTGGATGTTTCTCATTTTCTACTTGGTTTCTTCTTCCAAGTTTCTACAATCAGGATGCTATCAGACCTTTGACAGGAGATCCATCACCGCGGGCCTCTGGGATGAGGATTTTGTCATTGACGACATGAACACCCACTTCTCCCCACACTTCTTTCTCTCCCTGCTGCTTTACTGCATGCTTATTTCATGGCTTAGGAGCTCTAGAAGAATGCTAACCAATCATGGTGCTAGCAGAAAAAAAAGACAGCTCCCTGCTGCTGCTTTCCTTTGGGACTTGCCTGCCACGTGGCCTACGTGGAGAGCTGTGTTTCAAAGCCCACAAAGGAGATCACAGGGCATCGGCACTCTGACCTACTGCATTCCTAACAGCAGATCCCTAAGAGGGCGAGCGACTCAGGGCCAGGACCAGGTGCTGGGTGGAGGGGGGCCTTCAGCTTGCCGCTCGCCACACTGGGTGGGACTCAAGGCTGCTATGTTAGGCAGGATCTACGATTTGACTTCAGAGCATTTGTGTTTTGCTTGATTTATCATAATTCTACTTTTAATTGTTAAATAATAAGTGTATTTTTATGGGAAGCAATGCTGTATTGTCAAATGATTAAATCAACCAAAGTAACACATAATCACCTCCCTTGCCACCCCACATGGATGAATATGGGCAGGGAATTTGTTTTACTTACATTGAAAACTATTTTTTTAAACGATAATGCAAAATAGTATTAAAACAGAAAAATTACAAATATTACAGAATTTCAGCTCTTCTGCTTCAGTCCATCACCAAGTGAGTGCTCTCGCCTCCTACCCACACCATGTCTTCTCACAAGACTTTCAGAATCAAATGATTCCTGGCCAAGAAGCAAAAGCAGAATCACCCCATTCCTCAGTGGATTCATATGAAGACAGGTACAACTCCAAGAGGAGACACTGGAGCAGGACCAAGCTAGGACTGTGAGGAGTTGCACATGAGCTGCAACACATTTATCCTCTGGGAGGTCACAAGACGGTGTCATCTTTTAATCATGGTCAAGACAATACTGAATAAAGTTTTAAAAATAAAAAAAAATTACAGAATTTCAGTCAACAAAATAATATGAATTCCACAGTATTTGTTGTATTGCAAGGTGTGATTTTCAAATCAGTTGTTCAAATTGCCAGATATATGCATGTAAAATTGGAAGAAGAAAGGAAAAAAGAAATATATAAGAAATCAAGAAGAGAGCTGCAGAGATAGCTCAGTGGTCTAACGCCTTGCCTAGGCAAGCACAGGGACCCAGACTTGATCCCCGGCACTGCCTACCATACCAGCTTCACCCCTGGGCATCCCGGCCACCAAGACCCGGCATGGCCGCCCACACCTGTAACCCCAGCCCTGGGAGGCTGAAACAAGAGGATCACTACCAGTCTGATCTGCATATGAGACCTTGTACCAAATACATAAATTTTTTTAAAGTAAGAGAAAAAGGACAGACAATTGAAAAAGAAGACACAACAAATTAATTATTAATGTTCCTTTCCATAGATGAGCAGAATGCACAGCACAGTTGTGCAAATCGTGCTGCTCACACACACCACTACCCCTCTTTCCCCCACTCCCTCTCCTGTCCTTCTCATCTCAGCAATTCCTTCCTTTTGAACAGGGTCATTCCTTTTTCACAGAATCTATTAGGCTCTTCAGATTCCATTTTTTTTCAGGTTCTCACACCCCAGAGACACTGTGATGTTTGTACATGCACGTCTGACTTACTTCACTAGTGACGATGGTCTCTAGTTGCATCCATTTGCCAATAAAATCCTCACCTTTATCATTTTTTTTACCTGAATAATACTCCACTGTGTAAAAAACCATATCTTCTTTACCCATTCCTCAGTTGATGGGTATTTGGA